ATCAGGTTTCAGCGTGATCCTAGGCCGAGGCCCCCGGGGAGGCGGCGGTCTGTGGCGGCTGTCAGAGCGAGAACGAGGGCGGCCGCCCTGGCGTCGCTGAGAAGTCTGACTGTGCTGAGCTGGGCGCTGGGGTGGGGCTCGTGCAGGAGGCTGGTCATGTGAGCGGCCTGCAGAGGAGCTAGCGCGACGAGGCAGAAAAAGATTCATGGCCTGGGAGGCTTTCTGCACTTCAGAGAAACGGTCAACGATACCCGTGACAGCAGATCCGAAGAGGCCGGATGGAGAGAGCGGGGCGTTGAAAAAGGCGGCGCGCTCAGAATCTGCCATGTCGGCGAGTGTGAGCCACAAATGTCTTTCAGACACACAAATGGTGGCCATGCATTTCCCCAGGGCTTGAGCAGCAGATTTTGTAGCACGAAGGGCAATGTCCGTGGCGCTCCTTAAATCCGCGACTGAGGGGGGATTTTTTCCGCTCTCGTCCCATTCACGAAGTAAATCGCCCTGTAGAATCTGAAGGACGGACATGGAGTGGAGTGCAGAGGCTGCTTGGCCGGCGGCTGAGTAAGCGCAGGCGTGAAAGCTCGAAGTCGCTCTGCAGGCTTTAGAGGGAAGCACAGGTGATGAGCGCCATCTCGTGGAAGGCGGGCATAAATGTGCGGCGACCAGGTCCTCTACAGGGGGAATGGAGAGATAGCCCTTTTCTGCGGCTCCGTCCACAACGCGAAGCGGGGCGGAAGAGTCAGAGCGAGTTCTGGCAGAGAGCGGGGCATTCCAGGACTTCGTGAGTTCCGCGTGCAGTTCAGGCAGGAAGGGCGCGGCCCGTTTAATGACGGGAGTCGAGCGCTGGCGGAAGTAGCTGCCGTCCATACGGTTGATGGTCTGCTCGGGGGGAGGGGACCAATTGAGCTCGAGGCGTTCGACGGCCTGTGAGAGGAGGCGCACTAATTCCTCCTCAATTCCAGTGCGGGTCCCAGAGGATTCTCGGGCCGAGGAGGCGTGAGAACCAGACCATTCCTCACTGTCTGAAGCGAGAAGCGAACAGGTTTCCTTGATGTCCGCGGCGTCATGAGAGGCGACAGAGCGGCCACTCGGCGGCAACTGTACGTCCGTAAGCGGCGGAGAAGGAGAGCGGAAGGCGACAGGCTCCGGCGGGATGAACGCTTCCAGCTGGGGTTCCGGCGGCCTCTGAGAGCGGTCGTTTCTTCTTCAAGCAACTTTAGTGGCCTGAAGTCGAGTCCGCAGGGTCGACAACGGCATCTCCTCGCAGAGATCGCAGCCGCCATCGGCGAGGGCGAGCTCGGCGTGCTCCAATCCGAGGCAGAGAGCGCAGATGACGTGGCAGTCTCCAGTCTCGAGGGGAGCGCGGCAAGAACCTCAGGAGGATTTACGAGACATCTTTACAAAGACGCTCGGCTCTTTTAGATACAATACAATAATACAGGAAGCTTTTTCGTAAAAAGGATACAAATCCGTCGGATGGCGCTAGCTCGCAGGACGGCTGAAGGTGGCGAAGACGGCCGGCTTCCTCAGTCTCCCAGATGCTCGCTAGAGTTGCCTTTTCGCCGACGGCGGCTTCTCTCAGGATCAGCAAATGCGTGTAGCCTCGCTGAAGAGATGAAAATCAGAGTTTACAGCCTGGGAGGCGAATTTATACTCTCTGACCACGCCCGTTTCGGCGGGCTCTGACGCAATGAGAGCATGTCAGACTCTCATTGGCCGAGAGTTCATTCGCGTCTCCTCATAGGCTTAAGCAGTTCTCTGTGAGCGAACCAATGAGCTGCTAGCTAGCCCGCTCATGGTCTGCTGCAGCTGAACTGCGTTGACAATGGATACAAAATTATAGGATAATTTTTTGGCTTCAATTTCTCAGAAAGGATGAATCTTTCCCGTAGCGTAAGCTAGCTTACGCAATACGAGAGAACCTCTCGTAAGAGAACCTTTATTTTTATACTACTATGTACACACTGCAAAGTTTCAGCAGTGACAGTGACAACCGAATTAACCGAATTAAAATGCGGGACTGATTCTGAAATTGAGATGTTTGACAAGAAACGGGACAAAGAAAATATGATAGGGTACATTAAAATAGAATTGTGCAGCAATAAGTGAAATAGAACTGCCACATGTTCTGTTACCTGAAATGTGTAAACCTTGCTTTTCATTTTATTACAAACTTTTCATTAGATTTTTTTTTAATGCAATGTTTACTTAACTGAACAATATTTGGCTACATGCTAATGTTTTAATGTATTATTTTCTTATTTATAATCATTAATAGCATTAAAAATGAACTCATTTAATATATTTAATATTTTTTATTTTCAAATAGTTAAATAAAATATTAAAACAAAATGGTTACACTTACAATAGTTTTTGCTATGGTACTGAAATTGGTACCAATTTGACTGGTATTGGTACCGATTACAAAAATTTTGGTACCGTGACAACCAAAGAGCCCAACATATACACATCTCCCTCCCTCACACCCCCTTTCTGTGCAGCATGAAAGAGACGCTTCAGTTTATGCATCAGTTCATATACATTTCATTTTCAGCGGCTACTGTTGCGTGGTGCAATTGTTTCTCATTACAGCCTGGCTACCTTACTATGGTCCTCTGCCAAAGACGAGATTAAAAAAAAATCTGCTGAGACAGCCTGCGAAAAATATTTAATTAGTGAGAAGTAATCTGTAAATGAGGGAAGAGAAGTGAGAAAGATTTGAGTGAGCCATTCTACTGGGATGGGTTGATAATTGAACAGAAAATGAAAATGTTTGGGGTTACTCATGACCCCTAGCAAAGAACCTTTAACGAACCTTTAATTTTGTCCTAATTATATAATCATAAGAATGTTCATGTTATTTATGTCTTGTCTTAAGTCCATGTGCTGAGATTTTTTTGTGTTCAGGATGCTCTCAGACAGAGGCTGAAATTGCTTTCTACTGAGAAGAGCGGCCTTCAATCCCAGCTGATGGATTTCCAAATGAGAATTGTGCAGGAAGGAAAGGTGAAGCTCTACCAATCTTCTATTCAGAAAAATGCCCTCTAGTTATGAATCATCTCATATTGTTGTACACAATCTCCAGCTATTAATTGTAATGTTAATTGACATTATCATGAGGGAGTGAATGAGTCTAGATTCGGGCTGCTGAATTCCCCTATGCCTGTAATTATCTAATGATTATGCTGACATAAGAGTCCTAATTATTTCTTCATGCATGAACATTTTTTGTATTATTTACACAAGTGCCTTTATTATGCATTTTGTTTCTTCTAGACTTACCAGAAAGTCTACGAAGAGAGGTGGGCATATCTTACAGAGATTGCAAAGGTGAACCACACATTTAGAATAAAATTTGATCAGTTTTCCAGTTTGTTTGGTTTTGCTTTTATCCAAAGTGCTTTGCAGTGTAGGTATAGCCTGTGTCGTGTTGATAACTATGATAATGTGTCCTTAGCTGTCCTCAACAGTGGATATGAGCAGAAAACAGCAGATGGTTCTAGCCCGGAGGACAGCACTGGGTTCAGACAAAACGTAAATCTTCAAATGCACTGCACATCATCAAATGACGCCACTTTTGGTTCAGAGAAAACAATGTCAGTTCTTATATTTTCTGAAACATTTTCAAGTAACATGGAAAACCATGCAGAGTTTAGCCATTCAATTATTACAAGGAAACCAGAATGTGATTATCTCATTATGTACTTTTCACTGGTAGGTCCTACTTAAAATCCTGAGACTTGAGTATTAACGTAAAGAGATAGTTCACACATAAATTGTCAGTAATTACTTACCCTCATTCAAACCTGTATGAATTTCTTTCTTTTTTTTTCTTACCAACACTGGATTTTTTTCTAAATATTTTCTTTTGTGTTCTACAGAAGAAAGAAAATCATACATACAGGTTTGAATATATATGGGTAAATGTTTAGACTTTTAATTTCTAGGTGAACCATGCCTTAAACATTCAGAGCCTGGTTTAATTGTCTCATAAATATACAATTTACATATAAAGTGAAACAGATGGATGGTCTGTGGATGGATGGCGGTTGGGTACTTTTGAATACATCGTTAAAATGTTGGATGTCCTATAGCCTACCTTGTTTTTTATTTCCCTTTCCAGCAGAGGCCAGGAGGATATGATGCAACATTCAAATATGATGAAGGTGTCTGTCAAAAAAACACCTGCAAGAAGCCGACTCCCTCAATTAAAACATTAATGCAGTGCATGAATCCATCAATTATTGTTTGATTATGTCTTGAAAAAGTGTCATAAGCATTATTTTGGTTGGGCCACTCTGATCTCACTTATGTTCACTATAAATACTTTTAAATACATTTTTGAATTGTTTCTTGACTTGTTTGGGTTTTGTGAGCTAATTTCATCTCAAGGTAGTTTATTTAAAGGGATAGTTCACCCAAAAATGAAAATGATGTCACGAATTACTCTCATGCTGTTCCAAACCCGTAAGACCTTTGTTCATCTTCGGAACACAAATTAAGATATATTTTTTGATTAAATAGTAACAACATCGATAAAATAGTCCATGTGACTACCGTGGTTTAATGTTAGAAAGCAATGCGAATACTTTTTTCTGGGCCTTGAAAGTGGTGATTACATTGCAGTGCATGTAGTGAAAGAAAGAGTAAATAATGACAGAATTTTTTTTTTAATTAAGCTATTCCTTTAATTAAGTGTAATTTGTCATATCAGATGTTAATAATGTTATGATACTTATTCATGCTATTACTAAGAGTCATGATTAAGACAGTATCTCATAATTATGTAATTTCAGTATACACCTACATTACATTTAAGACACTGTTGTCGAAAATATTATTTGAATGATAAAAGAGAGTTTGAGCAATGGGTACAAGCCACATATGTTCTTTCTGAATCGTGACGGAGCTTCGAGAGCAGCCTCACCGGAGAGGAACGGGGCGGGGTGTGTGTGTGTGTGTGTGTGTGCGTGCGTGCGTGTGTGTGGGGAGGGATGGCTGTGCAGGTCTGCGGTGCGGGGCTGAATCTCAATGAGAAAGCGGCCAATGCAAGACACGGAGAGTGAGAGAGACAGACAGACAGTGAGAGAGCGAGCAGCAGCTGCCGACCGACCAGCCAGCCTCCTCTGCGGGACAACAAAGGAGGTGCGGGGCTCACATCACGACTCCTGTCAGCACAACTCAACATCTGAATCGTGACCATTCAGAAGAAATCTTGAATATTACCAACATCTTCACCTTTAGGCAAGTAAAAATGTCTATTTATTGTCTGTAAGAAAAATAAAATAGTCCGAAAGCTCGCAAATATTTTGACCTGTCTGTTAGAATGTTGTTTTGGTCATTCTAATTCATTTGAATAGTTCGGATTATCAGTTATGTCATTGTTAAATGGCCATTGACGTGACGTTCAATTTTGTCCGGATCTAAGTTATTCGAAAATATATTAAGAAATTCAACTCAAACAAAAATGACTTCAAAGTTTTTATTTCAGAATTAAAAGTAAGTTTTATATGTTTGTGCGCCGTAGTCAAACTGTCTATGTGATGTATTCTTGAAAAAAAAATATTTATTTCATTTAAAATAGGTTTTTAAATATTTTATTCACATGTTGATCTTTTTATGAAATGTTCAGGTAGAAAAAAAATCTCTTGATATTACTAACTAAAAATGAATTTGCTTCAAATAAAAAAAAATTACTTGGAAAAAGTGTTTAGAACTTTTTGGAAAAACACAAAACAAAACAAAAATACGATGAAGTGTTCATTTAGGCTACATGCACTTTTCACTTGACAGTAGGCTAAAATCTGTTTTAGAGTCAATAATCCAAAATAGGCTTTGTAAAAACGTATAGCCTATAAATAGCCTATACTATAGCCAATGAAAGCAATATGAATACAAAGACCTCATTCCAATAACATGGCGTGTTTTGAACTCGATCAAGGATTTTTAACATCGGTCCTCCTGAAATCAAGAAACAGCTATGCATTAATGTAGCACAATAATACACTTTTGCACAGGTTTCAAATATCATACGTTAGTGTTTTGCCATGTCAAATGAAGACTGTTAAAGACAACAGGATGACAGACGCAGGATTTAACGAGCTCCAAGAAACATGTAAGCTGTCATTAAAAGGTTATTTTCAGACGAGACATCAATTCACATCTAGGGTAGCCTATGTCACTGGGTTGAAAGAGCATGCAAGGATTAAATTGACTAGTTTGGTAACTTCCTTTTTCTACATTTAATTTTCACGGTTTAGCCCTAATTTGACTGGACGACATGGAGGAACATTTTGACGAGAGGGACAAAGTGCACCGCCATAGCCGAAGCGCGGGACGGGCGAACGGGCTGCTCAGCCCCACTCACAGCGCTCACTGCAGCCTGTACCGAACGCGCACCCTCAAAACTCTGAGCTCGGAGAAGAAGGCGAAGAAAGTGCGCTTTTACCGCAATGGTGACAGGTACTTCAACGGCATAGTGTATGCCATCTCATCGGACCGCATTAGAACCTTTGACGCTTTGCTGGCCGACCTGACCCGAACCCTCTCTGACAACGTCAACCTGCCCCAAGGGGTCCGAATCATCTACGCAATCGATGGTTCCAAAAAAATCACCAGCATAGAACAGCTGGTGGAAGGTAAGAAGTTCTTTAATGCTGCAGCCCATTTATGTTTTTATAGACTACTATAATCAACATTTGTAAATGAGTATTTATAGTAGGCTAGCCTATTTATGAGTATAGTGCTTCATGGGATTGTAGTTCTTTCCCACAGTCTTGTAGCCTACCCTTGTCTTTTTGTCTGAGTTTCAAAAACTTTTTTGCTTTAAATCAAAGTTTGTAGTGTTGTGATTCACCATAGCTGATTGGCTTGGTTCATGGCTTATAACTTTAACTAATTCTATTTTAAAGACCCACTGAAGTGCCTTGAAATGCAGCATGTGTTGATGTAATTTCCACTGAAACAGGAAGACAGGGTGGGACATAATCAAACAGCTCCTCCCCTTTTTTAAAGTAGCCAATAGCGTCTCGGTAAAGCAGCAGTTTCCTCCTAATCTCTAAATGTTTCTCCTCCTAATCTCCTCCATTTCACTTTAAAATATAGCATTCTGTGCAGAATTCAAATGGGTTCGATACGTTTTGTGTTCTGCGTCGACTAGCTCATATGATCCGGTCTGTGCTATCGTGTCTCTGAACAGGAGCAGACTGTGTGCGCGCTGTGGCGGTTCGCGTAACAATAATGTGAAACCAGACTTAATTTGCCCCAATGGAAAGCATATCTACACTGTCTGAGTTTTTCCCTATCCCCTATTTAGTGCACTATGACGAGCCATTCACCATGAAGAAGGTTAATGTAATAGTTAATGTGTGAACAAGTGACCGATTTTAGCTGCAGCTTCAGCTATTTATAATGTAAGCACACTAGCTTATAGATAACAGTAAGGCAAACATTCATACTAAAATTTTGATTTCATGGGGACTTTAAAATCCCTATGGGAAAAATTTATGAAAAAAAAACCTGGAACCAGTGCTGCTGAAAAAGGGGGCGAGCACTGTTCAGCATATCTTGGGATCATACAAAAAAGTATGTATGAGATCATAAAAATTCATACAAATTTGCAAGCAATTTGCCAAAATATAAATTAGATATGAACTGCCACGAGAGTGTTGACACGTCTCGAGATTGTTTTTCTATATCGCTGCCCCGCGTCTTAGTTTTTGTAATGCAGGAAGGCATGAATGGCTATTTTATTCTGTTACTGCAAATTGTTTTATGAGAGACTTAAATGTCTTGGTGGCTTGGATGCATTTGGTTTCTGTTTTCAAAATTAGAGCAGTAGATGTGACGACAAGGAGAAAAAATTAGGCCACTCAATGATGAGCATTTAAGTCTGCATGACTTTAACTTAAATCAATGCATTTTAACAGTCATGATGACAGGCAGTGCCTCGGGTCTTTATCCTAAAAATGAATGTCAAGCACACATCATTTTTATTGAAGATGTGTAAAATAAAACACATTGTACCACTATGTTCTTTTGATGATTATAGGTGAGAGTTATGTGTGTGGCTCCACCGAAGCCTTTAAAAAACTTGACTACTCCAACAACATCAACAACCCTAACTGGTCTGTGAATGTGAGGGCTTTGGGTTCCAGCAAGTGCCCAACATCTCTAGCAAGCTCGAAATCAGGACCGCAGTCCAAAGAGGGCAAAGACTTCATCAGACCCAAACTGGTCACTGTCATCCGCAGTGGGGTGAAGCCGCGGAAGGCAGTTCGCATCCTGCTCAACAAGAAGACGGCCCACTCCTTTGAGCAAGTTCTCACGGACATTACAGATGCTATAAAGCTCGATTCTGGCGTTGTCAAGAGGATCTACACCCTTGAGGGAAAACAGGTAGGATTGCTCATTTATTAATGGAAATCTTCATACTGGAAAATCTGTTTTGAGTTGATTCATTCATGTGATTTTAACTAATAGTTTTGTTATGTAAGCTGACCTCTTGAACTGGCACGGAAAACTTGAAAGGGTACTGGGATTGCACATTGGGAGTCCCAGATAATTGACATGCTAGTGAAATAAAAATGTTAGAAATGATTCATTTATCAACAGCTGAGTTAATCTTCCTACGTGATTGTAATCATTTGACTCAAACATAGACCTAAAAGTGTTATGATGAATTGTTCTTCTCTGGTAAATCCTTAAGGAATATCCCAGAAATATGGGGGCTCAACATCCAAACAATGTGGCTCTTGTTATTTAATCTCTGAAATGAATTCATACCACAAGCCTTGAATTATGAATAATGAAGTCTCATTATTTCAAATGCTACAGCAGAAATCTCTGCCTAACCTGCAGCAAGATTTATGGCAGATCGAGTCTAGTTTATGAATGGGAATCTGTGTCTTTGCCCACGCAGACTCAAAATGTGAGAACCGGTGTCTCAGAGCATACAGAAATAACTCATCCTCTCGCTTAAATTCCTCCCACCTTTTCGTGCCGCTCTGAAACAGCTGTGCCCTCCCCAGGCATGGAGAATGACACACACATGTGCATAACATACTCTGATAAATACTATGATATGCATATATACACATATATATATTATAAAAAATTATTTGATCATACACTGTAAATAACCCTCACAGATATACAATGCTGTTCAAATGTTCACTTGTGAAAGTGCTTATTTTCATCTTTTTAAAATAATTGAATGCACTGTTTTATAACAAATTATATTATCAGGAAAACATAAAGTGAAAAGTGGAATTCAAAAAAAAAAAAAATTATATTTGTATTTGGTTTGTCCGCTTTATCACTCAAGCTACATGAGCTTCAGTTTGAGAATGAGAATTGAGCATCATGTGCTTCATTGGAAGCAAATCTGACCTTTTGTTACAAAGGAGTCACATGACTAATGTCTCAAATTTGCTTATTTAATTATTAGCTTAGAATCTTAAACCTTTCTTATACATTTTACATCATAATGTTTCTCATTCAAAATCCTAAAACGTTCTATTCATTTCCAGGTTTAAGTTTAATTTGAAATCCCAGCTTTTCCAGTGTATGAGTGGCACTGTACATGAGCATCTCTGAACGTGTCTCTGCTCGGCCAGGTAAAATGTGCAAATAAGGAGACGCCATTTGGCTGAAATTCAATAAAAACGAATTAATCTCCACATGGATCTGTTACCTCTCTCCATTCATCTCTGTGCTGGCGGCTCTGCCAGTGTCTCAGATCTTCAGACTTCATCTTTTCTATTTGAAAACCCTCTAAATCACCTTGAATTTGGAAAACTGGAGCATAGACAGATTGGAATTGCAGATGCTTCATAGAACGTGGAGTCGTGCATAAGGCTTTTTAGAGTAGCTGTATTGAGTAACAAATATGTATTTAAAAAATAAAATGAAATCCTTTCAGTTGTTACATGAAACATGATTCAAAAAAGACATTATCCCTCTAGTATAATCTGATAGCAGAGGTTATGCAGTAAGGCATCAAAGCCCTGGTCACCATCCAGATAAAGTAAGAGCATTATGGCTAGCATTATTTTTAGAACGAGGATCGATTGGGCCCGAGGGAGCCGTCTATTGAACAAGCCTGGCCAGACACAGTTACAGGACACGGTTTTGTCCTGATACAATTATGAACAGAAGCAACAGAAACCAGGAAGGAGAGACAAAGGGAGAAAGTAAAAGGAGATAGCAGAGGGATCTATGTGGGTTAGAGAAAAAAAGATGAACGCATAACAAGTGAAACAGGAGGTGGAGAAGTTCAGGTGTACAATTAACAAAGCAATAAATGTAAAATTTCCTGTTTTTTGTTCAGTTTGAATGCAGGATCCAGGTGTGGAAGCAGATATGTCAACATTTATTGTTGCTGTGCTTTGTTTGATGAATTACTAAAGTAAACCTGAGTGTGTGGGTGATTGATGGAAATTCTAAAGCCATTTTTAGATAAGTTCAGTGTTGTTGAAGCATGAAGTAATTCATTATCTTCTACATAACAGGACTGTGCTGTTTTGTTTTGTGGTATTATATTGGTATTATATTATAGCCTTTTGCGCTTGGCTCATATTGTTTTGCCCAAAAAAAGAGAAGGATTTCTGTACATTTACATTATGTTTTATGTGCTAAGTGAGAGTTTGCTGAGCTGAGTCAGGATATTATTCAACAAACCATAGGTTTTAGCATTTTTCAGCTGTGTTAATATAAATGAACCTGCCTGTGCCCTATGAAAGAAAAATATGTATTTCTGCTTCCAGTTTGTGAATTAAATCATGTTTATCTCCTGCCCTGGTTCAGTATAATGTAAAATGTACTCCAAACAGAGATGCAAATTTCAGGGAAAGCAGAGAGAAATGCCTTGAGTTGATTGGAAAGCTAATTATAAATGCAAAGGATTGGAGATGGACTGAAATCTGATTACTCACATGGGAGGAACGTGATTTTAAAAATTGTAAATGTTTCTTCAAGCTACAGATCCTGTTGGTTACTTGGTTGTCGTATGGCAAATGTGTGTTCCTTCTGTTCATGCGAGTCTGAATTCATATATCCGACAACAGGCCTTGACGTCTTCGGGGATTTATTCATTATAACATCTTCCTCTAGCTCTGATGTCTGTAGCACCTGTCGTGATTGTAAAAATAGACATCAGATGCTAGAATGCATGTGAGACGCATGTAGCTGATGTCTCTATGTGGAAATGAAATGTGACCGAATGGAAAAAGCTCATGATCACGAGAGATCTGGGTTTTTGGGTCTTTGCGTGAGTCTCATGACACCTTTCTGATAACCTGTATAATGAGGCTAGAGACAGTAGATCAAGGTCTTATTCAATCTTATATAGTGAGACTTCTCTCTGGAGTTTTACTATAGGAAGTGAAGGATGGGTTGTGACAGGTTTTATGGTGTAAAACGCAGTGATGTTGTACCAGAATAGAGCAAAACATACTACGGCTCTGGATAAATGTGTGTGCTTATATGTGTGTGCTTGAATGCTGTGTGAGTTATCATCTAAGAGAGACCTCACTAAAAGCACTGTAGTTGGCATTTATAGGATGAAAATTGTCAGTGGCAAGCCTATTTAAACTATTTCTGGAGTGATTTTGTGAAAAAAGATCTGTGGAATTCTGTGGGTTATGTTGATTTGAAGATGATTTGTGTTAAATAGAGCTGGTAATACACTACCACTAAAGAAGTGTGGGGTCAGTACAGTTGTTTGACAGAAATCAATGCTTTTATTCAGAAAGGATGCATACAATTGTTCTTCGAACAATCATGAAAAAATGCATCACGGTTTCCACAAAAATATTAAGCAGCAAAACTGTTTTCAACACTGATAAAAAATTGGTGTCTTGAATGATTAGAATGATTTCTGATGGATCATGTGACACAGAAGACTGGAGTGATGATGCTGAAAATGCAGCTTTGCCATCAAAGGAATAAAATACATTTTAAAATATTTTAAAACCGAAAACAGCTATTTTAAATTGCAATACTATTTCACAATATTATTATTTTACAATTTATTTTTTCCTTGGTGAGCGAAAACCTTATAAAACATTAAACAATATCTTACCAACTGCAAACCTTTGAACGGAAGTGTACATTCTTATTGGCTGATAAAAGTATCGGTTTAATATCAGCAGAAATGATCAGATTAGCCCAAATATTTAATAAAGTTTTTGCGCACATATTATGTGCAGTCTTAGTTATTGGTATGAAATATGTGTTCATTAGTGATGTCCATGTTATAAACGCTCTTGAAATATAAAAACCAACATTGTGCTACAGTTAAACCACCTTACCTATTGTAACTTTTAAAACTTTTTTTTTTGGATAGTTTAAAGCAGCACTTAGTAGGAATTCCGTTTTTGTCAAACAGCGACCCCTAGAGTCGCTGTGGAGCACTTGTACTGTCGTGAATAGCACTCACGCAGAGATGGCTCGCACTCACGGCCGGATCCCCTCCCCCTGTACACCGGTACCTGTTCAGTAGGATGGACGCTGTAACGAGTGGAAATAAGGTATGGCCCCTTTAAGAGCTGCGTGCGCCCAACACCACATGTATACGGCGCCGGGTTATTTCTGTTTGATGCTCATTTTATCAGAATTTTATCAGATCTGTTTTTTTGCCGTAAAGCAATTCGTTACCTCGCGAGACCTGATATCACACGATACTTCCTAACACTGAGGCCGGCGGCTCGCCGGCCCAAAGTTGCAAGGGTGGTTTTGCGGCTCACAGGCACCAGGGGGGTGCGAGACGACCACCATTCAACACGAAATCAGTAATATAAACATTACAATGACTCCAAAGCTGTTTGGTTAAGGTAAAAAAGTTACTTAGTTCACCTTTAAATGTCTATTTTTAGCCAGATTTGCATTTGCGACACCCTAATGAGTACCATAGAGAGATGGGGGTCATTCCTTTTGACTTGAGCTAGTAACTAACCACCTAGTTACCACCCAGAACACCCTAGCTACCACAAAGCAACATCCTGCCAACCATCCACAACACATTAGTATCTCGGTAGGACAAGTTGGACAAGCATCACTAGTTTATTGATTGATTCAGGTGCTTTGCATATAGATAGTTCTGAATTACATACGTTTTCTGTGCCTCATCTGATTTTTCCCCTCAGATGGCCACTGACCTGGATCCATTTCTGGTTCTACTGAGTGCAGGCTCAGAGTTTTGCTTGTGGTGCAATGCTTCTGGAGGACACAGCTGACAGACGGAGCAAAGAGGGCATGCAGCTGAAATTCACAATTAACATGTGTCAGAACTAACCCGTTTACCATCGTCTGCAACCATGCACAGACTCTCACTCTTCTGTCCATCTTCACAGTGTGCGGTGTGTTAGCGCAGTGTTGGTTTGTCTTTCCTCACAAAG